ATGTAGGGGGGGGGACAGGTTTCCTAGAAGGGTGGCAACTGAGTAAATTCCAGAGGACACTCTGAGTATTCACTCTGCTAGATTTTATCAGGCAAATAGATGTTGCTGGGAGAAAAATTCAGAGCACAAATGCCACAGCAATCTTGTCCCACAATTGTGAACGTTGTTCTATCAGGATTCTCAGCTGCAGAGCAGATAGTAAACATGTGCAACTGAATACTTTACCAACTTTCTTTAGATGTTCATATGAAACATACAGTACAAAGGTCTTTCTGCAATATTCAAATGTGAAACAAATGAAGACTATACTTTAGCTAGTTGCCTCAGTAAGCAAATGCCTGCCTAAGATACAGTGGGTGATTAAATAGGAGTGCCTGACCTGGTCTATAAGAATCATGATTAAATCCTACCTACCAAGGTACTGTAGACTTATAAACCAATACAGTCTGGGAAATCAGCAATTGATGCGTTTAAAACTGTATTAAATCCTGCTTAAAAATTACATTACCCTGAAACAGGGAAATAAATATTTGTTAATTGTTAAAAGCACATGCTGGGTAGATGGGAATACAGTTGTATAGCTGCTTTCTGTTCTTTTATAGATTGATCCCAACAGCATTGCTGCAAAGGACGGCCGTATCAGAGAGGGTGATCGCATAATTCAAGTGAGCTCTCAAAATATTTATTCATTTATTGCTTATAGTTATATTTATCTTTCCTCCAGGAACTGAAAGCCATATGTATAGTATTCCTTTCTCCAATATTCTCCACAGAAGTAAACCTATTGAGAGAAAGAGAGAGACTCGGTCAAAATTACCCAATGAGATACTCTGATTGACTTTCTAATCCAAGCATCTTTCCTATTATGTGAAGCCATACATTAACTTTTGCATTTATTTATGTATCAAATTTATATAACAAGCCATGTCACATCTATGACTCTTGTCTGGATGGCGTACAATAAAACAATCATTTAAATCATATATAAAGGAACAGTGTAAACTATTTAAAAACAAATAAAAATAAGGCAATGGGAGAATGGATCAGCCTCCTACAGACAATGTGCCTACTGTGGAAGGTGCTTTATTGTCCTGGGATTCCAAATCCTGCTGGAAGAACCAGGGTTTGAGAGATTACATAGTTCTTTACATTCTGATTTTGTACACCACTAAGATTAAAATCTCATTTTAGATGAGCAGCAGTTCTGGTGACTCCATGGGCCTATCCGTGTAATTTTCTTGGCAGAAGTGGTTTGCTGTTGCTGTCTTCTGGGATTTTTTCAGCTTCCCCAGTCTAGATTTTACCAATCATATTTTGAAAGTCCCCCTGGAGAAATCCCACCAAAACAGTCTCCTGGTGAAAGGGCAGATGTGAGCCGTTTTAGGCCAAATGCAGTTGTATTTACTCTCATAGATCAACCATGAAAGGCAAAGTGTTACTTGACAGCATTATGTTTGTGAAAAACTACCTCAGGGGATAATCCAACAGTCTCTTAACACTGGTGTAATGTTATTGAATTTGCCATCATATAGCACTTTTAGCAGGCAAAGAGATTTATAATCCTTATTTTATTCAGCCTCACAACAGTCCCGTGAATCCCAAATGTCACATTACTTTTTGATGCAATAAAGTTTATGTGGCAAGAAGATGTATTTATCTTTCCAGCACAAAGTTTTAAAATTAGATTTTTCCTTGACATGGAAAATCAGCTCATTCCATGTTAAGATGCTCCTAAAATAGGAACTGGGTCCCCCCCACACACAAAACATTAAACACTGTAGCTGCTTGATTATTTTGGTGAACCAAAAGAAGAATGTAGGCAGTGGGTGTGAGGTAAACTCTTTCCATTTTAGAGATTCAGAAAGAAGATGAAAAGCAATACTTAAATCAGTGGTTTTGGGGAATGCAGAATTGAGCTCAGATAGTTCTATTTGTTTCATGAAGCTGCAGGTTGTTCTGATAAATTAAATGCCGTAAGCTATATATTGTATACTCTGTCTACAATCAGAGTAATATATCTGTCAAAAACATCTATATAGCAGCAGGTTTTTCTAGAAATATGCCTTGCTGCACTTTCTAAGTGATTGGAGAGGGTGACAGAAGTTTTTTTTTATTATTTTCTCTCATCAGATTAATGGAATTGAGATACAGAATCGAGAAGAAGCTGTAGCTCTTCTGACCAGTGAAGAAAGCAAGAATGTCTCCTTACTCATAGCAAGACCAGAAATTCTCCAGGTATTCTCCCATATTTCAGTTACCGATATGATATTATCTATGTTTTACAGTAAACAATCTTTTCTGATGATGGAAGTTGATGAAGATGTAAAAAAAATATTGTTGAATGTATCAATATATTAAGCCAATGTATAGGTAGATGTGTGTGGACCCTTGGAAAAGCTGAATGGCCATATTCCAAGGGACAGTCATTCTTCAAAAGGTCTATCTATGTGGACATTAAGAGCCAACAACAAGTTGAAATAATTGATTAATAAATTAATCAAACAAACAATATATATGAGATATATATTGATATATGCGAGTTCTACTCTCCTGATAGAATGCTACAAAGAAATGATTTGCAGAAATAGTAGCACATAGTGAAAGAAATACAAAGTGGAATGACTTTTCAAAGGTGCTGGTGGTAAGGAAATGGAATACCAAAGAGTTAATGCGGGGGGAAAATGTTTGGGTATTTTATTATTATTTTATTATTTTTCATTATTATTTATATAATAAGTAGTGAGGGAATATATAGCAATAGATATAATATTTTACATTTGCAGTAGCTGTTTTGGTCTCAGTGGACAGGATAGGCAATGGTTCATCTCATCAACACATGATAATGGCATTTATTTCCTATCTCTGCAAAGTGACTCTGGGTGGCTTACAATTAAAATCATAAATATAAAAATATTTAAAACGCTAAAACATTAAGTCAGAGATATGAAGCAAAAGGCAAAGTCAATACAGTGATGACATCTTCTCTGTTAGTCTGCCAGCCATCTCCAACATTGAGTGCCCCCATAAGGATTCCAAGCCAACTGGCAGAACCAGGTTTTAATGCCCATCCAGATGGCTGGGGGCGGGGGGCATATCTTATCTTAGGCAGCAAGATATTCCAAAGAGCAAGGACCATGGCAGGAAAAAACCTCCTTCTAGACCCCAACCAGTCAAAACTCTTTGACCAACAGGGCCCTGTAGCATGCCCCTTCTGCAGGACTAAATGGGATGGGCTGATACCATTGGGGTGAGATGGTACAATCTATGATTTTGAAAGATATGATTTTGCACATGACCAAGAAGCTTCTTCTACCACCTCCAAAAGCTCACTGAACACAGTTTGCAAAGCATAATCGCTGAACGGATGCGCTCCTCTGAACTTTTCAGTCCCAATAGGTAGTAACCCTATATATTATTGCTGCACGTGTCCATGTCAGAAACCATCTGGATTTTTTTTTCTTGTACCAGTAATAAATTTATTTCTAGGAATTAGTGGGATCATGGGGATCCTGAAATTTGAGAGGGAAATTTAGTGGAGAATTATTTACTGTTCTAAACCAAGATGACAGCAGTGCTTATGCTTACATTCTGCACTTGGGATTCACAGCATGGAAGAAACTTAGCAGGACTTCTATGGCAAGATTACTCCAAATAACGCATAAAGTTTCCCAAAGGGCCATTGCTAAATGTTATTTAGTACAGCTAGGAAATGGAGGTGAACGCTGCCCTCTAGAGTTAGACATGATTGAGCAGGGGAAACCTTTTCCTTTTTTTATTTATAATATTTTTAAATTTATGTTCCTAATAACCCTGTTTGGTTTATTTCCTTTACAGCTAGATGAAGGATGGATGGATGATGACAGAAATGATTTTCTGGATGACTTACATATGGACATGCTGGAGGAACAGCACCATCAAGCAATGCAGTTTACAGCCAATATGTTGCAGCAGGTAAAAACCATTTTTGGGCTAAAAGTCTTATGGGCATGTTGAAAATATGGAGAGCGTATTGTGGAAACTTAGTCAAACTTCAGGTTGCGGGTATACAGCATATATTATATGGTGGGTGTAGCCTGTCACAAAACACCTGTTGATCAAATGTAAGTTGTGCTCACCCAACTACCACTAGTTCCGATGATCTTCTCCATCAACCCAACTTTTTAAGTTTCTTTCAGATTAGGTGAACACCTTTCCATAGAAAACACTGGCTTGTAGCTACCATTTTCATTTTGGTTTTCTAAATGGATCTGAGCGAAAACCAGAAATACTGTTATAAATAAAGTCTACGGTACAAGCTAAACCTTGGCTTTGCATGAGTTTGAGATTGCATTCATAAGAAAAACCAAGCTCTGTTATGTCTGAAACTAAAATGATTTAATTTTTAGCTGCCCGGAGAACTGTCTTTTTGTAAATGGCATTCCACTACTGGAAGGAAGGCCAAATCAACCTTCCTTCCTTACCAGAAGATCTTAATAAACAGTGGCCCATTCCATACGTAAAGATTAAGCTAATAAAAGAAATCCTGCAGTTTGCATGATAGTTTTGCTTTTAAAAAAAATAATAATAATAAACATCCCCTGTTCTTAATTTTCTGTTTAGAAGAAGAAAAACGAAGAGGACGGCGGCACCACAGATACGGCAACCATTTTATCCAACCAACACGAAAAAGACAGTGGCGTAGGGCGTACAGATGACAGCACTCGGAATGACGAGAGCTCCGAGCAAGAGAACAATGGCGATGATCACATTACTTCCTCCAACACTTTGGGAAGCCAGAAGAAACTCACTTATAGCCAGGATACGCTGGGCAGTGGTGACATGCAGTTCAGCAACGAGTCATTTATTTCAGCTGATTGCACAGATGCAGACTTCCTTGGCATCTCGGTGGATGAGTGCGAGAGGTTTCGTGAACTGCTGGAGCTGAAATGCCAGGTCAAATCCACAAACCCTTACAGCCTGTACTGCCACAACAGTACTCTGGATATGAGTAAAAGTGACCATGAGAGTGTGGACAGGGAGCTGGAGATGCTGAACGAGGAGCTGCATAACATTGAGCTAGAGTGTCTTAATATTGTGCGAGCCCATAAGATGCAGCAGTTGAAGGAACAGTATCGAGAGCCATGGATGCTGCATAACAGCGGCTTCCGCAACTACAATACCAGCATTGATGTCCGCCGACATGAACTCTCAGATATCACTGAGCTGCCAGAAAAATCAGATAAGGACAGCTCCAGTGCATACAACACTGGTGAAAGTTGCCGAAGCACACCACTCACGTTGGACATCTCCCCCAACAACTCTCTCTGTAGGACAGCAGACACGCTCACTTTACAAGTCAGGGAGGGGGCAGAAGGCACTCTGAAACTGTTGCTGCCTAGTTCAGAAGACCAGGAATCCGGCCTGACTAAACCAACTCCTCCCAAAGATGCTGACCTTAGCCAGCCATTGGAATTCAAGGAAATGAAAATTAACGAAGAAAGCAAAAGCGCAGTCCCGGCTCCCAAAGCCAGTGGTTCCTCTTTGTCCTCCTATCAGCATTCTCCATACAAGCATGCCCATATTCCAGCCCACGCCCAGCACTACCAGAGCTACATGCAGCTGATCCAACAGAAGTCCGCAGTGGAATATGCACAGAGTCAGATGAGTTTGGTGAGCATGTGTAAAGACTGGAACTCTTCAAACCAGAGTGAACCCAGGATGGAATGGAAGGTCAAGGTCAGGAGCGACGGTACTCGCTACATCACCAAGAGGCCAGTCAGGGACCGGCTGCTGCGAGAGCGTGCTATAAAGATCAGAGAGGAGCGCAGCGGCATGACGACAGATGACGATGCCATCAGCGAAATGAAGATGGGTCGTTACTGGAGTAAGGAGGAACGGAAGCAGCATATTGTGAAGGCCAAGGAGCAGAGAAAGCGGCGCGAGTTTATGATGCAAAGCAGATTGGAATGCTTGAAGGAACAACAAGGGACTGAGGACAAGAAGGAAATGAATATCATAGAACTGAGCCACAAAAAAATGATGAAGAAAAGAAACAAAAAGATATTTGACAATTGGATGACAATTCAAGAACTCCTAACCCATGGCACAAAATCACCAGATGGGACAAAAGTTTACAACTCTTTCCTCTCAGTGACTACCGTATAATTTTTCTGTGCCAAAGCTAATACGTAAAACCCTTCCGTTGGGGTAGAGATTCTTGCCTCGTTCAATGTGGCAACACTTGTTTTGTTTCTTTGTTTGTATATAAGACACGTTCATCGGATCTACCATCCAAATGGAGAATCTGGGTTTCTCAAAACATTTTCAAAGAGGAGAGAGACATCACCCACCCCAAATCTTTGAAGGCAATACTGAAGAGGCAGAGCTTATTTGGAATACCAATAGTACCTTTTTTTTGTAACTTGTTATCCTTTTGCATAAAGTGTTTTAAAATAACAGGAAAACATATTAATCATACTTAACACAGGTAATATCTTTTTATTCATATATTCATATTTTTAAAAAGGTTACACATGCAGAAACGCAATGACAACCTCAAATATGTATTTTTAACAAGGCAGTATTTTGCAATATATCTTTGCTAGTAGGCCCTTTTTTTCTGCAGAGATTGCTGTTTTAATCAATATTTTTAGCTGAACTAGCAGACCCTTCATAGAATCGTTTTGCAGTAACATATCACACCAGCTGTGTCTTTGGAGTTGTACTGGCTTGCCTGTCCATCATGGTACCTATGATAGGTAAACTAAATACAGCTGGCAGATAGGATAAATCCTGATGTACCTCCTTAGATTTGAAGCCTAATTGGAATAATTTAGATTGTGCTGGCTGGACTGGTAGTATTAAAATCTCACTGTGATTACTATAAATATTTGGGTAACTACAGTCCTGTTTCAACAAAATAGCCAGAGATAGGTCATTGGGTTAAATTATGGAGACTATGGAGGAAGCTTTCTATAAAATGTACAAGGACAGGCAATACCTAGGCACTGAAAATATTATGCATATGACTCTTTAGGACTCTACCCAACAGCTACACTCTTTCAGCTTCTCTCTCTCTGGTTTCTGAAGGAAGAAAGTAGGTATCACTTGAAAGAGCAGAAGGCAACTACTACATGCTGCAGCTCTGAAAGGTTTTGAAGTTTGCCAAGGCTGTAGCCTGTTGAACGAATGTGCATGTGTGTCTAATGGTGTTACAAAACCAATTGTGTAATTTGAAATGCCAATTGTAGTAGTTGTCAGCTTTGTAGATTTGAATGTATTGAAATTGAGAGCAGTTTTCATGGGAAACATGACTAGTTATTAACAAGTAAAATGGAGTTAAAATAAATTATTGTTTTATATTTCAACTCAATTGTAGTAGGCTGTATTTTGTCTGTTTTAATCCATTATCTGCAGGACTGCCACTACATGGCCTTACATTGTTTTGTACAGCAGTACTGAGATTTCTCTAGCTTAGGATTGGTATGAACAGATTTCTCTTCTCTTAGGATTGGTATGAACAGTGTGTAAGCACTGGGAATAAGCATTAAGTTTAGAATAAATAAGTCATACTGTGTCACAATCTACTTTGCAGTTTCTCAGAAGCTTCTTTCTCTGAAAGGAAGATTCTTTTGTTGATCATCAATGATTTTTTTTCTTTCATTTTTCTCTTGTTTGTATTTTTGAGCCTAGTTTATTACTGTAGTTGGCAGAATTCTGCTTTTGGCATTGTTTGCTTTTAAAGGTCTACTCTTCATGTTGATCCTTGAAAATATGCAGAGAAGAGCAACAAAGATGATAAAGGATCTGGAGGCTAAATTGTATGATAAAGGGTTGAGGGAGCTAGGTATATCTAGCTTATCAAAGAGAAGGATTAGAAGGGGGGGACATGGTAATTGTCTTCCAGTACTTGAGGGACTGTTACAAAGAAGAGGGGATTGACTTATTCTCAGAGGGCAGGACAAGAAGGAATGGATGGAAGTTTGTTAAAGAGAGATCCTAGAAGCAAGGAGAAATTTTCTGACAGTGAGAATAATTAATCAATGGAATAGTCTGTCTCCTAGGATTGTGAGAGCTCCATTACTACAGGTTTTCAAAAATAGACTGGGATGGTATAAGGCTCCTGCCTTGAGCAGGGGGTTGGATTAGAACAGGGGTAGACAACCTTGGCTCTTTTATGACTTGTGGACTTCAACTCCCAGAATTCCTGATTCTGGGAATTGAAGTCCACGAGTCATAAAAGAGCCAAGGTTGCCTACCCCTGGATTAGAAGACCTGCAAGGTCTCTTCCAGCCCTATGATTCTGTGTGTCAGATTAACCAAATGAAAACATAAACAAGAGAATTACCTCAGTATCTTTTTCTGAATACTCATGTGCGTTTGTTGTTTGTCAACTTCAGTTCAGCATTTAACACAATCATTCCCTGGCATCTAGTAGACAAACTGGGCCTTTTAGGCTTAAACACTCCTTTGTGCAACTGGATTCTTGATTTTCTTACAAACAGGCCCCAATATGTGCGAGCTGGAACAAATATTTCTAACACCATTTTCTTGAGCACAGGTTCTCCTCAGGGCTGCATCCTAAATTCACTGCTGTTCACTCTGTTGACCTATGACTGTTTGCCACCAACCATATTGTGAAGTTCGCTGATGATACAACAGTAGCGGGCCTTATTTATGACAGGGTGCTTACAGCAAGAGGTTGAGGGTTTGGTGAACTGGTGTAAGGAAAACAGCCTAGTTTTAAATACTGGAAAAACCAAAGAGATCATTGTCAATTTCAGAAAAGGCAGGCACAGTCACACTTCTCTGTGCATTAATGATTCACCTGTGGAGATGGTTACCAGCATCAAATTCCTGGGTGTGCAGTTAACAAGTAGGCTGGCTTGGTGGCTCAACAGAGAGACACTGGTGAAGTGGGCACAGCAGCGCCTGCATTTTCTGTGTTGCATGAGAAAAGCACATCTTCCTTCCCCTATCCTTACCACTTTCTACAGAGGGACGATCGAGAGCATCAGGGTCTGGTTTGGAAGCATCACTGCTTCAGACAGGAAGGCGGTGCAGAGAGTGATGAGGATGGCTGAAAAGATCATTGGCAGTTCCCTCCCTTCCATCCAGGACATAGCACATAAGCGTTGCTTGAACAGGGTCTGCAAGATTGTCTGGGACACTACACATCCTCTTCATGACCTGTTTTCCTTGTTACCTTCTGGGAGGAGGCTCTGTGGTATCCGAAGCAGAACATCCAGTTTCAGTCACAGCTTTGTTCCATACAGTCTTAACCTTGTGAACTCTAAAGCTTCCTCCTTTTGTTATGTATTCAAGATGGACGGCGATTAATATTTATATGTTACTTATATGTAAGGGTAAAGGTCTACACATATGTTATATAGAGTATGTTTTAAATGTGTTTTGTGTATATGTACACTTTTGAGAGCAAACAACTAAATTTCATTTTTAATGTGTGCCGTTGTGCCCACAGAAAAAAAGACAATAAAGGTTATCTAATCTAATCTAATCATGAAAACCCAGATGGACATCTCATTCTGTCTCTTAAGTATTTTTTGAAGAGGTCATCTCCAAACTGGCAAGCAACACTGCAAGGAAAATTTAATCTTATATTCATCTCATTATTTTCATTCATTAAATTTATATACCGTTTGGCTGAGTTTTGTGTTTTCGTGGCTTATTAGTCAAGAAAATAAATGATAGCTATGGGGATGATGAAGCCTCCAAAACCTTATTAAAATCTTCTAGGCACCAGTATCTAAGTATTTAGTGTTCATGGGATTAAGTTCCATTAAACTTGCAGAAACTAGTAGTTAATGAAAAAAAGTGATCTGCAGAATATTATTTTTATAACAACAAAGTTTGACATTTCCATGCCTTCACTTTCCTGTATGGTAAAAATGGCAGAATCCACAAAAGCAGAACTTGTTCACCAATGCTGCCAGCCTTTTTTAAATAAAAAGACATGCTATCACGTATTAGAAATCACAACTGCCTAGGGGCTACTGGCTGGAGAATTAATTAGGATTATAAACAGAAAATATGTAAATTAATCTGATCTTCAGTGGCCTTTGGAAAGAGGTTACTAGATTTTTGTTAGCAAATTTTCTCAAATGTCTGGGAGCCACACAAAAGGAAGCCATCAGCAATTTAAGCTGCTTTACTTCCTTTGATTTCAATAGAGTTCTTTGGGGAGGGGCAGATCCCTATGGAAAACAAACTAATTAAGAAAAGACATTGTCACACAAAAAGGGTGACTATCAGAGATAGGAACAGTGTATGTATTTCTTTTTTTCTCCTCCTTGCCCACAAAAGTGATTACATTTAAATTGTTTGCAGCTGGAATGACAAAAAGATTAAGTCAGGTTGTCCTTATATTTTCTCTGCAACCCACATTCCCTGTATAGCTTAGCAAAAGAAATTTAATTTTCATGGGAAAGCCCTTGATGAAACTTTTACATTGTGCCTCTATATTTTGAATAGCAATTTACATTGTGAAGTGAAAGGAAATACACATTTTTAAAAAGTGCCTAAGAAAAAGAAATTATTTCTAAATTGAAAACCCAAGGAAGCAGACAGCTTATTCCCACCTCTTTTTGTGTACTCAAACTTAGATCCACCGCTCCAATCTACAAAAGTTTAGATTGATTATCATAAGAGGAAATATTTTAGTATCAGGTACTCCCTTCTGGGAAGCAGAGCAGAAAGTAATTGTAATTGTAGTGGTGATGATGCTGATGATGTGATAGCAATGCCTTTTTTTCATTCAAGAAAATGGTTTACAGAATCATTGTTGGAGGTATAAAAGTCACATAGTCACTTCTTAACCACTATCTTTACTTACTGCTATTTATCAGAATTACTTTGTTTCCTATGAAGAATAAGGAAAAGGTGGGGTGAATCACTGTTTAACATTTTAATATCCCACTTTTACTAACTGTATTCTCGTAACTCATGGAAAAAGCATGAAGAGGAGGTGTGCATTCTAGAAATGAACATTCACCCGTAAGTCACCTTGAAATAGCGTGTAAGATTATGCAGTGCTGCTACAACAACATTTCAGTATATGCAGATATTACTGGGCAGAATGGAAATTGTTCTAAAATCAGCCTTCCTTCAACTGTAGAGACCCAGCACTAACTCAGTACGATAGTCTAGGAAGCCATCACCAGTTTGACCATTTTCCCCCTTGAGCTTCTATCAAATTGTTGAATATATTAATTTTTGCCACTATACCCTCAAATTGAGAAATATTTGAGAGACTGTCACAAAGAAGGAGACCACCTATTCTCCAAAGCACTGGAGAAGTAATGGAT